CGCGGGCCAGTTTGGCCGTGCTGGGCACCTTTGAGGCGGTTTGAAGAGATGGCTGAAGCCAGGCTCGCTGCAGGCTCGCTGCGATGTGCTCTGGCCGGCACGGCAGCAGACAGACATGCTGCGCTGCAGCGGTAAAGACACGGGGGCTTCAGCTGAGAGTGCTGTGCCAGGCCTGGGGGGAAAACTCCTGCCTTTGAGGGTCAAACAGCAAAAACAGATAAGGCAAAGGAAAGGGAAGAACAGAGAAGCTGGTGGCATGACCCAGAGGAGCTGCGGGTAGACCCACAAGAGCATCATCTTCATTAGCTTGTCCCTGGCCAGACAGAGGGGGTGGCTGGAGATGCGGGGGGCAGCGCATGGCCCGGGGAGGCTGCAAGGAGGCACGCGGGGGCCGGGCTGGACCGGCAGCCCTCCTCGCCGGCAGGGCACTGCTTCTGCAGCTGCAAACCTAGGAATTTGTGAGAGTCTGTGATTGTGGCGCAGAATGACTGTTGGGACTCCTGAGGGCCATAAAAGGGCTTTTGGATTAGCCAAGAGTTATCTGCTGAGCAGCCCAGTTAGCAGAAGTGCTTTGTTCATAAATCTGGGATTATAGGTTAAAATCCATATGGCTCTAGTGCACAGGGCTGGTGTGACTTCCCAAGTGCCAGAATCAGCAGGGCTGTATTTGCTGTCCCGGGAGAAGACGCTGGCCCTGGCTGTGTGCTTGAGTTCCCGCTGCCGGCACCTGGGAGGTTTTTCACCTCTTGCCTTTCACAGCAGCCCCATGGTGCCCCAGCCTGGACTGCCACAGCGTTTCGCTTTTCTGATCCCAAAAGGTACATAAGTGTCAGAAACAAAAGATCACGGGCACTTGGACCTAGTTGTATATGTTTTATTTATCTTGACAGATAGAGACATAATTAAGCATTCATTCTCTGAGATCCTTGGCTCAATGACGTGCCCATTATTGATGTTCGAGTGGGGCAGCCCACTGCAGTATCCTGCAGTTTTCTGTCCATACAACAATAGGAGCTGCTGACAGCTCCTTTAAGCGTAAAAAATGCAGTTAGCAAAACAAGCAATATGGCGATGCCTTTTTCTCCGAGTTGCACAAGACTTTTGCTGAGCAAAAAAGTGGCTTTTAACAGCAGCCCCAGAGGTAAAGCCTGATTTTGCTGTCAAAGTCCACCCTCCTGCAAGCACCACAAGCCAGCCCTCAGTTGGGATCTTGGATTTGCTTTCTGCGTCCATCAGGGTTTTGGTATTTAGTTCATATTTATGGAACCCTCTACTGAACCGTAAGATAAACTGTGGAAGCGGATGGGACATGGCCAATGCGCGCTCGGCTGCGCTCTTCCTGATTGACCTCTCATTGCGGGCTCACGACAGCGGGAGACGGGGAATAACGGTTTGCTGGGAAATGCCTCCGTTGGCGTAAGCGTGCGGTCTAGGGAAACGAACCCTTGCCGGCAGTTACCGCGTGTAACAGGAGCTCTGTGGTTCAGACCAAGAAATAAAAGTAGCCCTGAGCAGCGGGTGCGGGACGGGAGCAGGTACTAATGAGCTTGTTTCTTGTCCCCTGTTGGCTCCCGCCAGCTCCCTGACCTGCCCTGCCTGTCGGGACCCGCTGATTAAGAGCAGGCGCTTGCCTGAAAGGTCTCGTGTCCCGTTTATGGACTTCCAGGTATTTGAGAGAGGAAGGGACGGATCTGCGGGGCCTCCTGCTCCATCCTCCGTCAACACTGAGGTGCTGTAAGGCACGTCTGCCCCGTATCCGCTCCCGCGTCTGAATACACTACCCGACAGGTCCTGTAATGCAGCGCCTCGAGTCAGGAATGCGGCAGCTCCCCGGCCTTTCTGGCAGGCAGCTCCGGGCCAGCGCTGGAGTACTTTGTGAGCGGTTTTGTCAATGCTATCAGAGGAGCGGGTGTGAGCAGCGAGAGCACAGGGCTGTGAGTTAACCCCCGCAGGGCTGGGCTCTAGCCCTGCCAGATGTGCTGCAGCTGCCCAGCTCCAGGCTCGCTGGCCCAGCCTGCCGCGCACCGAGAGATAACCTTTTCCGGAGCGGCGCGCAGCGCCTAGCGCCTGCGTGCTCCAGGTCAGCCCAGGCCTCGCTATAACGCGGCGATCGCTTCCCGTGCGGGAGGGAGCACGTGTCCCCGGTACCTCCCGGCTTGGCTGCCTGCAACGCGCTTGGCAGGGAGAGCGAAACTGCCTTTAATCTTGAGCTTGAGAGCAGCTGATAGCAAAACCACCTTTGATGTTGCAGGGTTTTCCTTGACACAAATCCTCTCGAAAGCAGTTCCCTTTCTCACTCTGCCGTTTGATTTACGCACGGCACTGACAGCTGTTTTTCTAATTTCGGTCTCCCCTGTGCTTTGGAGGCCGGTGGCCGGAGGCTTCCCTGCGTGAGCCCCGCGGTAACCTTGCTCTGCGCCCCAGCCCGCGCGCTAGGTACCGGTACAACCTGTGACTGTGCTGGGGCCGACGCCAAGGTCCTGTTTTGAGCAAGGGCTATTTACAGTAAAAATAAACACATCATACAAAATGTATCAAGGGTACAAGTGTCAGACAAATAAGCTCTTTCCATTAGCTTAATGTCAAAGGGATGTGCTCCTCCTCCCCACGCACTTGCTCACCCTGGAGGACTAAGTTCACAAAACAGATTTTCTGGGGAGAAGTGTTTTTTTTTTCTTTTTAAATAACAAAGTCACAGATCAATAGATGGGTCATAAACTGTGGGAACATTCCTTGAAACGGCTCCATAGAATCAAGCTCCTTATTTATTGCAATAAATTATAATTAGATTTTCTTATCATGGGGTTTTATGCGGCATGCTTAGGAAAAAGCTTGCTGTCAGCAAAGAAAGTTTAAGTGTCTGCACATTGATGTTATAGCATCAATAATTAGCAATTTTCATTTTGGAGCTGCTTTCTCTTGAAAGAGGGGTGTCAGCTTAAGTGGACTCAACAGCAAGGACTTTCTTCTCGTACAGAGTATACTGTATGACCTCTTCTACTTCCTGCCTGAGCCTCCCACAAGCAGGTTTTAAGTATTTTTCTTAAAACATTGGATTTTTAAACCAAATTTCAGAATATTTTTTCCCCTTATATTGCAATTGAGGGAAATAAAGGAATTCTTAATGAAAATGAAAAAAACAGAAGTATTCTGAAATCCCCTGCAGAATTCTGGCATTTCTTGAATGAATCCCCCAAGACGGTGGCGCTGGCGCGGCTTAGCCCGGCCGCCACGGGGATCGGCGGGGGTTTTTTTTTGTGCCGCTGGGGCCTTTGCGCTGAGCGCTTTAGCTGCAAGGCTGGTACCCAGCCAGGCCGGGTGCTATGGTGACGGGGCCTGGGGGGCATCTCTGGAGAGACGGGAGGGAGGAAACCCAGCTCCCAGGCGGGTGCTCCCGGGCGGGGGCCGGAGCTGCTTGCAGGGCATGGGGGTGTGGGAGGAGAGGGGAGCTGAGCTGATAGGAGAGCAGGAGCCTGCGGGGAGAGACGGTTTGGGAGAAAAACTCATGCCCTGCTACCCTCTACCCAGAGCCCAGTGTGCTGAGTCCTCCCTGCGGACCCCGCTGAGCTGGCAGGGCCCCTCCGGCTGCAGCCGGCAGCCAGCGCCTTGCGAGCCTCCCCGCCTGGCCTTTGCAGAGTGAGGAGTGGAGGTTGGATCTCAGCAGTTGACACACTGCACCCTCAGACCCAACCTCCATGCTGAGTTCGAGGAGGGGCCCGCGCTGCGTTACGCTCGCTCGAGGAGGAGCCTGCATTGTAAGGGCAGGAGCAAACAGGAGTGATCTCTGAGCGCTGGGTGCTCCGGAGGTGCAGGAGCAAGCGCGTTCGCCCCCGGGGTGCTCGCATGCCCCAGGGCACAGTTCCCATACGGGCCAGGGCAGCAGGACACCTGCTAAGTCATTACAGCGCTGATCAGCTGCGAACACTGTTACTAAACTTGGCACGGCAGCTGCCTACAACTTCAGCAGATGTTTCTAATTTTTAGCACAGTGGAAATTTCTTGAATCACTTTTAAACTCACTTCCCAGGGAGGAAACCTCTAGTGACTCATCACTAAATGAAGCTATTGGCTCCGGAGCAGATACTATCTGACAGACAAGCCCACTGAACCGTCCAGCTCACTTGTCTTCTCACTCATGTGTGCCAAGGCAGTCATCCTGTGCAGATCAAGTGTCCTAAATACTGAAATGGACAGATTCGACCCACCCTTCCCTCCTTCCCTTCCTCTCACCCCGATTCCCAGTGCCGTGACTCTTGTTGTCAGGGTAGGGAGCACTCTGAGAACAGGGTGAGTCAGCCAGAGGAGATGGACCGTGAATGGCGTTTCAACACCTAACCTAAGAGAACAGCCTCTGCTTCACTAGAGACATGAGGTCATCCTGAACTTGTGGCTTGTTTGCTGGCTCCAGATAACTGCACGGATCTCTTAGATGTCCCTGCCATGAGCTGAGCTGTGATCACAGCAGGAGGGATGGAAATCTGTGTCTTGTTGGCATCCTGTTGAACAGTAGGGCAGTAGTGGGTGAAGGTACAGTAGAAGAGTGCCCGAGCCTCTGTACAACAGCCATCACAGCTGGTAGCTCTGAGAAATTCTGCCTTTCTCTTCTGGAAGGCCTCATCCCTTCCCGAACCCATTCTTGCAGCAGAACTGGTCTGGGGAGATAAGCTCTGAGGGTTAGTATCACTGGGGTAAATCAAGAGCAGAATCTGTATTTCCATTTAGGAAATTATATCGATCTTTTTGGAAGAGAGTGGATGAGATGATTGCTATCAAAGAGGGTTGTGGCTGAGGACAAGCAAGGAGAATACAACAGGAGACTGTACGTAGTGGTATGCCATCAGCAAAGAAATAGAGGTGTTTTCTGCCACTGCAGAAATGGCTGTGATTGGGCTAATCTCGCTCATTCAAGCACTGAGATGCTCCTGGTGAGAAGTGGTAGAAACTAGGGCAATCATTACAAACAGGTGAAGCAGATGCTGGCGTCTCCCTTGTGCACAATTAGTGCCTGTCCAGCAGTTGCCAGGGAAGACAACAGGCTCAGTGGGCCCCGGCTGCTGAAATGTGATGTAGGAGCAAGTATCTGTACAGATTCCCAGTGAGCAAAGGGGTGAGATGGCAGGTGGCAGATCTTTCACGGTCCAGCGCTATTTTGGCCATGCTATATTGCAGGACCAGGAAGGCACAAGAGAGACACTGATGTTTCCCATTTTCCTTTTCCTTTTGCTGTCACATCTATAGGCCTTTTAGCAGGTAAAATGTGGTTTCAAGACTATGGTTTGCAGGGGCGAAAGGGCGTCTTTAAATGTGTACACAGGTGGGACATGGTCTCGTGTGGGGAGGGAGCAGGTCTTGGGACAGAGCAAACTTTCCCTGCTGTGGCCTGACAGGCGATCTTCTGTTCTTTCTGCAGACACTTCTTCACCCCAACAGTGGGGCAGCTGGGAAGGATGGAGAGATAAAGGCACTACGACTGGCTCAGTACAAGGTGTTTTACACAACAGGTACCGTGTCCATTTTGGAGATCATAAAGTCTTGAAAAAAAGCTTTTACAGTTCTTGGTTCCCTGCAGATAGGCGTAAAAGCCAGATCAGATTAATACAAGCAAGAACAAATCTAGCAAGGAGTAAGTATATGCCCACACATGTCTGCATGATGGGTCGTTGGCCTTGGAAGCGCTCTCAGACTAGCAGTGTCCCACAGATGGGACATTGTGGGAACGGGCTGAGAGTATGCCTCTCTGCCAGCCCTCCCCCCTTCACCCTGACATCTAATAGTAGAGCTTTTCTGGGCCAAAAATTTTATGTGCTTAAGACTAGGCTGAGGGTCACCATTTCATGAGACATCAAAGTTGGTTTTCTGCTGGAGGACCAGGTGACTCTTGGGCCATGGTGGAGGGCCTGGGCTTGTTCTGTGGTCAGGAGGGCTGTGGGGTGTCACTCCCTGGGCACAGTGTGGCTGGCAGTTGTGCCTTCGCGGAGCAAGTGGCTCGTCCTGTGGCTATTCACTGGGGTTCACTGACCCATGCTGCCTCTGGAGCCTCCGGATATTGCTGGTATCTGGCGTTCTCACCTTCATCTCACTCCCTTTGTATCTGACTAGCTGCCTTTGGGCTGTTCTCAGGCCTCTTTTGCTTCTCTGCTGTCAGTGTGCTCAGCCTGTGAGTTGCCTTGTGGTCCTCCCTTTGCCTGTACAGCCTCCAGATGTCCTTTTGTAAGTGGGTCATCTTGGAAACTGAGCTGCAACCTGGCTGGAGAGTTGTGGTAATCACAGCTGGAGTCTCAGACTTGATGCTGTACCTCTCAAGTTAAAATTACCTGGGGCCAATCCTTTGCCAGCCGGTGTAGCCAGCCTGGGGCCTGTCACTTATAGCATTTAGACCATTTCTCCAGTGTTGTCTCCCCAGTATCAGGCATGGCTGTCACAGATAGATAAGGAATCCAGAGGTGGTACCTAGGCAGGGGTGACCAGCCTGGGACTCCAGTGTTTTTCTCTTGGTTTCCTCCCTAGGAGGGGCAAAGGCTTGCGATGGAAGCGTTGGGCCAGAAGAGCATCACCAGCCTCCACTCATTTTCAATCTGGATCACGATATCCAGGAGCAGGAGCCTTTGGATGTGGCATCCAGAGAATATCAGGCAGTGTTACCTGCAATCAGCAGGGCTTACGCAGAAGCTCTTCAGGATATTGCAACAGACAATGTCTCGGTTGCAGATTACTCCCAAGATCCGGCAGCGACCCCCTGCTGCAACAGCCAGCATGTGGCCTGCCGATGCCAAGCTCACGGGTCGCACGCAGCCTCGCTGGACCATCGCACAGAAGGAGCAACGCAGCTTTGCATTTAATCAAGTAATTGCTCGAGCTGCTCCGTTTCTGATTCTGGCTATGTTAACGGGACTGTTGTTCAGCCTGGCTCCAGGCTTCAGGTTGGCCACAGAGGACAGGGATGGAGGCTGCGATTCCCTTTGCTCCGTGCTATGAAACAGTGTAGGTGAGTTGAGTGTCTGTATGGGCATGTGGAGAGGGTCCCCTTTCCTGCAGCTGTGTCCCTCCGGCAGACCTGTCCTGTGTTGCTGGAAGAGCAGGTCATTGCAGTACCTGGTGATTCTGGGCATGTGGAATTACAGAAAGGAGGCAAGCTTTTGTAGAGCTGCTTAGCTGAGAAAGAGTCAGGACTTGGATTAAAACTACCTTCTCTAATACCTGGTTTTTAGAGAGAATTTCTCTGGGAAATTATCTTGCCTTTCCATGCTAGAAAATGAACCTTATAGGAGAGGGCCCATGGGAGCATGAGGCAGGGAAGGAAGGGGCCCCCCAACTCTAAACAAACATCCGTTGCTAGTGTTGAGACCCTGGAAGTCTGTTGTAGAGAGACTATTTCCTGCCTTTTCTGTGCCAGGACAAGGTGAGCGCTCTGGGAAGTGAAGCACCTGCTTCTCTGGGTGCCAAGTGAGGTTTTTCCAAAAGAGGTTGTATTAAAGACCACAACTATCTGTAAAAGAAAGAGAGCGAGCCTTGGGCTTGTAATGACAGCTGCCCTGTACTTCCCTGGCATCTGGCTGGGCACGATGCTTGGCTTGTGCTAAGGCTGCTCTGCACTGACACAGCAGAGATCAGAGATTATTCTGAGATGACAAGTAGTCAAGTCATGGTATTTTGAAAGGCTGTTTGGAAATGTGTGGTAGACAGGTGCGAGATGCAGAACTGCGGTAACTCTTCCCTGTCACCTCTCTTTTGAAAGACCAATGATGTAACTGCGTTTTGGGGGGAGTTGAGTAGAGGGTGTCTGCCTCTAAAGAGTCCCAGCAGATCAGGGCTGCAGGCAGAGCTGCAAAGGCAAAATCAAAGGTGCAGCTGTAACTCTGAAACGGCCAGGATTTCTCAGCAGCTGAATGAGGGTTTTCTGAAACAGTTTGGACTCAGATTTAGGCAACCAGATCCTTTTCTTGGATCAGTCTGTAAGTAGCTTGTCTAAAGCAAAGCAAGGTGTTAAAACGAGCAACAGGGAACTGGGAGTTGTAATTATGGGCAGCTCTGCTGAGATTTAGAGGGGCTACCCAACAGTTTGCAAGTAAGTCTGGCCTGCAGCCTCCTCACCTCCCTTCCTGGCACCAGATGAAAGCAGCAATGCTCTGCGGACTTGGCCAGGTCACTGTGGTCCAGGTGCAGCTGAGAGCAGCCTTCCTTTCACCAGGGCCCCAAACCCACTCTCCCACGTGCTAAAACTTAATCAAGACTGACATCTTTAGGGCCCCACAAAGAACAGCACGAGCACGGGCAGCGAGCAGCCAGGGACAGACTGTGACTTTATTCTGTCTTTAAACATAGCAAATTGCATCTTCTCTAATATCACTGCAAAAATACTTTGCCTGGGTAAAATAGTATGTATATACTGTACAAAGACATAAGTTCAATATATCTTCCTATAAGTACATTTATACACATAAAAGAGCATAAATTAGAAAAGGGGAAAACAAGTATATAAAATTCTGGTTACATACAAATCTGATTAAATTAGCATTTACATTGTGGTTCTAACATATAATTTGTTAAATATAGCAATGTGCATACAGTACATGAACACCCCACCCAGACACCAATTCAAACAAGGGGCTAGCGGGGCCAGGTATTCAGTTAAACATACCGTAGTAAAAAGCAGTGGCCCACCTTGGATTTTTTTCTCTTCTTTGGGACTCACAAATCTATTCTTCAATAGTGCTGGCTTTTCCAAAGAACCTCCCAGCAGCTGTCCTAAGCGCGGATGTTTGCTTCTCATCATGACCTCTTCGCTTTGCCCAGCTGACCTCCACGGCACAAGATTATCTACCAAAATCAAAACAGAACGGCCTTAACTTTTTTTCCCAGCAACAGGGTGTGTTTCAAGTTGGTTTTACGCACATGGGAGGAGAAGGGGGAGGGAAGTCCTGCAGTGTTTTACTTTCCATTTGAAGGGAGATTTGTGAGCTCGTTTATTTATTTTCCCCCTCCCCAAATTTATAGTCTTGAGAACAGGAACCATCTGGCTTGGTGATAAACGTGTCCTGTATCTAGCTGGCATCACGCTGAGCACAGACGCGCTTGCACAAATTCGATTACTAAAGATGGGACTCGTTCCCCTCACTAACGTCCTCCCAAAAGTTAAGCTCCCTGGGTGGCTGGAGGGGAAGGGAGCAGGACACGTATCACTGTGTCTCTCTGGGCACTCCAGGCAGCGACAAGAGTTACACACCTACATTTTAGACTTAGTTAGGTGAGGGGAATCCTATCCTAAGTATCAGCAAAACCTTTTCGTGAAAGAATAAAGCAGAAACATACAGGAAATAGGCAGCAGCAAGGACTTGAAAATGCTTCATATTGGCTACTCCTCTTTAAACACAAGCCACAGGAATAGAGACCTGGGGAAAGATTTACACCTAATTCTGGATAAAGCTTGGGCAGAGCTGTGGGTCTGCCGCATTACCCTAGGTGGGTACCTCTGCTCAGACACTAACCACAGGTCTCCCTTTTGGTCAGCTCCAGCCTTTCCAAAAGTGCCCTACATTTCGCAGCCTTACAGATGCGGACCCTACAGCCTCAGCTGCAGGAAGGTCTGCCCGAGATCTCTCTCTTGATGGGCTTTGGGAACATCACTTGCCCGGTTCTGAGGATCATGACATTGACACTGGATCATACGTTGCCAGAGGGACCTCAGTTAATGTAGTGATGAGCCGGGCTTCATCCTGCAAACCCCAGCTGCCCCAAATGGCTGTTGGAGCTAGAGCGGCAGGAGTTGCCAGGAGGAACAGGAAGCTGGACAGATTCTGCCAAACTTGCTCATTCCCCTTGTGAAGAATGATTATTAGTAGAGCTCCACAGCAAAACCTTTTGCCTTTCCTATCCTAACAGCCAACTAGTAAAGAACAGAAAAAACACTTAAAAATCAGTGTTTGCACATGATGCACAACCGAAAGTGAAATGCCATCCAGGCAAACAGTAAGGAGAAACACGAGCAAATACAGGTCACGTGCAGCCAAAGACAGGGCGATAAGCTGGTCGCTTGTATTAGGAATCCGTGGTTTAGACAAACGGGGATGAGCGCAGCCCCCACGCCGGTGCACTGATCGGGGGGAGCGTCTCTGCCGCCTGCGGACAGCCGCACTCCTGCGATGGAGACGTCGTGGTGCTGGGGAGGCCGCAGTGCACAGGCCGTTGGGCGCTGGAGGCACGGCTCGGCTAATGCTCCTGCCCGTCCTTCCAGGGAGCAACCTCACGCGCCGCAGTGACCGACTGCTGGTTAATGCTGATCGTCAGGATGAGACCTGCACAAACCTACCCAGGCTGCATGCAGCCAGCCAGCGCCTCTCGGGTTCCAGGCATAGTTTATTTGACTTAACGAAACAGCTCTCCTGATGAAACCTTCAGATCAACTTCATTCCTGAGGCTTTGACTCAGAGCCTGCAGAAGAGTGCAGCCAAATGCAAGCATTGATGGTGTACGTCTGGAAAAGCACTGAGGAATCGGCTAAAAGAAACGCCTTTTCTACTGATCTTCAGAAGTTTTAAAAGATCTGCTGGTATGTATTCTTCAGGTCCGTATATGCCACATCGTTTCATTCTTGCTGAATCCTGCAGGTTTTCTTGTGTAGAACCTCATAGCGCTACCCCAAAACTTTTCTAAATATGATCTTTTGGGGCAACGAGAGTGGCTCCTGAAAGGCTGAGCTGGTTGTGCAGTCAGGCTGGTGTCAGCAGGGCACTGCTGGGCGCGAAGCATATCCCAGCAACTCCCAAAACTGCCAGCAACTTCTGCAGCTCTGATGAACTAGTACAAAAGTGGCAACTGCTTGGACAAGTAATCAGCGAACAGCAGGAACTGACACATCATTTGCAGCCATAACTGTGGGTAAAACCAGAAGCGACTGTCAAATAAACGGAGCTGGGTTCATGCTTCCCCTCCTGAGGGCTTTGATCACTCGGAAGGGTGATGCAGCTCCTCGCAGCAAGTCTCAAGCACAGCACCTTTTCCTCAGGTTAGCTTTTAGCCTGCCGTCCATCTCAATAACAGCTAAGTACTTTCCGCATAAGATCAACAGCAATTCCAAAGAGACCCTAGTAGACCTGAAAGCATTTAATCCACCCCATCAATGCAAGCAAGATATGTAATTGAACTAGTTTAACCTCTTGCTACAGGATTGTTCAGCAGTACTAGCATACTAGCATATAGTATGCTAGCATATAATACTAGCATAACCACATCCATATTAATTCTTGTTCAGGTCAGTTTTTAACATCACTTAAGCCCCCCCTGGGTTTTTCATCTCTTCTCTGACCTGTCCCTCCTTCTGGTTAATGAAGAGGCAGTTTCCTGCAATCAGCAACAGATTTTATGTTAGACTGAAGCTGCATTTCCTTACTATTAACGATTGAGCCTCTGAAGTCCTGCTCACCAGCACTTGAGGTCAGGGGAAGGCAAAATGTTTTAAAATGGAGAGGAACTGCTGGGTTCTAGGCGCTGCTGTTTCCCCAGAAGTATGTCCAACTTCAAAGCCATACTCGCGGCATGGGCTGTGGGTGAATATTCCATTTTGTCACAAGTTTTGAGGTTTTTAAATGTCTTTTTGTTGCACACTGGAAGACAAACAAAATCCTTCCCATGTTTCCACAAAAGAGAATGCTGTCAAAACATTTTTGTTGGATAAGGTCAGGTTTTCTCTCCCTCCTTCACACAAAAGTGACCGATCCCTGAAACCCCTCTTGAACAAGTCACTGAGACCGTACGTTTCAGCGCTGAGAAAACAGCAGAGTTCAGTGAAAATTCAGAGCATCAAAACATCCTGACCAGCTCTCCTTACGAACGAACACAGCAGGAGCCAATGCTGCACTAGCAAGGAGACCAGATGCAAAACGCTACCTCCAGCAACAGAGGGGGAAAAAGTGAAGTCCTAGCTGCAGACGCTTTATCTGGAAGCTCCTATTGCTAAGCCACCGTATCAACGAGTATTTTTGGAAAGCTCCTTCCCTCCTACACCACCTCCTCCCTACGTTACACATATTAAGTTGCTCTGTCAGGTTAATTACAGCACAGGATTTTGACAGATCAAAGTCCATGTAATAAAGCGCCTGCTGTTGTACAGCAGGGGTTTAGGGCTGCTTTTATACTGCGTAGTCCCAGCAGGCAGACTCATTCAGGAGCAGCATGATTCCTGCTTGCTGGCATTTGCTTGTCCCCAGACCACAGGTTCAAGTGTAGGTTCATAGAAAGAAGCAAAGGATTTCTTTCTGGCCCTGCTGCTCCTAGGAACTTTCCTGCCAGATGCCTGGGCCAGCAGCTCTGACAAGAGGGGAAGACATTTTAGCTCCTTCCTAGGTAATGGAACAGGACAAACAGAAAACTTTTGTTCCGAGTTTGCAATAGGTTATGCTACAGGTAACAAAAGAGAATTAGTCCAAAGTTTATGTGACTTGAAAAGCTGGATTTAGGTAGTGTTTAAAATGGAGTCATGAGCTAGTTGTAATACTTTGCATCAGTTTAAAGTGCCTTACAGAGGAGGTCAGCCTCAACATATGGAACAAATCCTGGGATCCCAGTAAAGTTTTTACTTCCTCCTTCAGGCAAAATACCAACAGCAAGATGTGTAAAAACAGAGGAAAGGATTCAAAAATCTGCCGAGTTTACAACTTGAAATCCATTACAATATGCTGCTGTATTAATGCATTACTATTATGAAGACACTGCTGATTACAACCAGGTCATATCATGGTAACCAAGCTCTGTCCACTTAAGAGTTAAATATTTAACACTATAAATGCTGGTATAGTAGGAAGAGGAGCAGGAGAGACACTGCCAGGCTTAAGTTAGATTTTTAAAAGCCAATATGTCCTTCCAATGACAACTGAGAAAGTGCCATTTAAAAATCATAAAACGGTTTCAAACTCTGTTAGGCTTTTCACTTTGTATTGGGAAAAGGAGTTTCCTTTTTAGTTAGCTTGGAAATAAAGAGACCGGTGAGATTCATATATGTCCCGGTTGCTTTCCCATACACTAACACAACTAACTGGAAATGGTGCAGGGAATATTAAGTGTTTATTTCTAAACGATGGGATTGTTCAAATTAAAGCTAAAAAACAGTCAAGTTATGTGCAAGGCACAAAGGTCAGATCTGGATCTGAATGTCATTCGGCATCTGAACTTCATTCAGCTAGTTTGTTCGGATCCATCTCTAGTTACTAGGATTGGTCATCTTTCCCCATCTCTAGCTGCCATTCAGTGGGGGTGTAATCTTCCTGGTACTGTCCCTATAGCTTAATTAGTTATTTTAAGCTTCACAGTGAATTGGGACAAGGTGGGGGCAACAATATCTCTTCTGCAAGGGTTAATACTTTCTTCTTAGCATGAGGGTTGTATTGCTGTTTTAGGGATCCTGAATGCTCACAGGAGGAAACTCATTCTCGTCATCAAGACACACTGGTCCAGTTGCAAACTCATGCTCTGGGATAACCTCTCCTCGCAGGGCTCCACCATCCTCTGAATAACCTGCCAAAGTAAAAATATAAAACAGTAAGGATAAACACATGGAAGGAGGCTGGAATAAACAATGGAGACACCATTTTATCAGCATTTTAGCACAGAGCTGGTTTATCTGGCTTTTCGGCAGAGCGCTGGGGGAACGCAGAAGAGAAAGATAACTCCACCAACACTATAGATTAGGGAACAGACGAAATGGCTTGTTCCTGTAGCAGAAGCATTCTTCCTCCCACCGTGAATGCAAGCACAAATCCCAGAATAAGACCTACATCTGTATGCAAACTGTAAGATTAGTCATGAGCTCTGACTTCTACATCCATGATTTCAACTCCTGGAAACCGGTCTGGCAGCTCGCAGCAGCTGCTGTCTGACAAACTGTAAAACAAGACTGGATGCGGTTACTGCTCTTCTAGTGGGCCTCTGCACAAGAGGAGGAGAAGTGCTGGGAAGCAGAACAGAAAACTCCTGACCTGTTCTCAGGGGCAGGGGGCAAATCGTGAGCTCCAAAGATTCCTGCTACCCCGGCCTGCGATGCACACTGCATTGCGTGTGTTTCTGGCCACAATGGGCCCTTGGAAGTTCAGGGACTTCCTGTTTTGCTCTATGAGGCTTTCGTGTATCTGCCTGAGGAAGGGCCGAGCTGACACTTACCTGGCATGGTTGAAGCTGAAGGCACTGTACTTTGTCTGGCTACAGTTGCTGCGTAAGATTGAGGTAACGGAGGCTGGAGGTCATTTTCTTTGTTCTCCTCCATCTTTCCTGAGCCGAGCAGACTAATTGTACAGGAACAAGAGACAGAAAAAAGAGTTAGCTCTGATCCTGTCCGTTCCTCCCCCAGCGCTGGTTAAGATGCACACACACGCATCCGTATCACCTTGAAACACATCACCCATTTGTAACACTGCATCCAGGCACCAACTGCAGCCCTAGCAGTGCTGCAGAGGAGGAGCTCATTGTTCTCTACAAATAAAGCAGGGGGAAAGGAAAGGAAGAGATAGGGAAAGCGCTACTACAGCTAGAGGACAATGCTGGCATGAGAATAGAAAGGAAAAGACTGGCCACAAAAGCTTTAGATCACAAAGGCAAACAGTGTTTCTAACCACGGAGGGGGCTACAAAGGGCTTGCAACAGGAGCGGAATAGGCAAGTAAAGCAGCACTGGCTAGTTTAGGATGGAGTTTGAGCAGAGATATGCTATGATGTAATTTAACTCATGACCCAAGAGGCCCTTTCTGATGCTAAAAGAGGAACCCACATAGGAAGCTGGCCTGCCAGGTCCAGACTGCCAGTTCACAATAGGAGCACATGGGCATCAGCGATGTCTGAAGGAGGCAGGCAGGCCGGAGCATGCTGGACAGCTCAGCTTTGAAGTGATTTTGTTTTGTGGCTTGTAAAAAACTGTTGGCATTTTCCTGGCTGTCAGCCACGTCACTGCTTAGAGTACATGTTACATCCCACCCCACCCTGAAGGCGTCACATCTGGAGCCAAGTAGCCCAGATGTGGGGTTACGTGCCTATGTGAGTTTGCATACAAACTAAACAGCAGCACAGAAAACTCCCCTTTGTCACTGCACGCCTGCCTGTGTGCGTGCATGCATGTGCACATGTTCTTGTTTACGGAAGCTCCCAGTCTTGTTCCACATGATCACATCCCTGAAATCATCTCTCTAGCACCCAGCCAGGCCTGGAGGAGGTACTCTCTTCTCCTGCCACCCTGTTGGTCTGTTGGCTGTTGCAGGAGACGCCTCGTAAGAGCCAGCCTGCCCACCTCTGCCCATTCTGGCTGAAACGTCCCAGAGCTGCCTAGGGATTTGAGATGTCTGTGGTTTCTTCTGCAGGAAGCCCAGGGAGCCTGCCTGCTGGCAGGGGCCTCACAGGGATCTCTCAGATTGGACAGCTAAAATCACAACTCACTTCTGACATCCTTGCTCCTACAGCTCCATTTTATACTCTCAGGTGAAAATTCTGTTACTTTTTAAAAATCAGCCTCTGTATCAAAAGTACCTGGAGCACCAGTGCGCTCAAGGTATAGTTACCTGTGTTTCTTAATTAAGACGCACTCCCCTCCATCTTGCGGGTCCAGGTTGTAGATATAGAGATGTCCATCTGATGTTGTCACTAACAATCGAGGCAGTTTCTGAATCCTAATGAGAAAAGCGTAAGCCCAGATGCACACATCTGCATATAGAGCCAAGTGTTTGCAGCAAGGAGAAGGGGTTAAACCTCTGCATCCCCGCCCCTGTTGTGCTGCTACTTGCTAAGGAGGGACTTCTAGCCACCAGCAGAGCTGCTTCCAGTCTTTGGTCTAAGAGCGTCCACACAAGGGGCTGCAATAAATGACCCAATCCACAGGCCTAAGTTAGTGCTGACATTTAAGAAAGGGCAGTGCAGCCTGCTCTCTACCTCCATCCTGGACTCTTTCATCTGTGGGAGCCTGTGGAAGGTAGGCCAGATGCAGAAAGCACGCACATACACACACGTGTACTGCTCTGCAGGTGCAAGATGATGGACAACAGTTGTGATATTCTGTGTGGATAATTATGTCTGTCCACCACCTGGTGTGGCAGAGGGAATGCAAATGTTATTACATACGTGGAGAGGGCACAGATGTTCCTTTGTCCAGAGATGTTCAAGCGGACAGTGGCAAAGGCTCGATCCTGGTTCATCATTCCTGATACTTGAGCGGGGAGGTAGTTGGTAGCGGCCTGGAACATCTTTCCCATGTAACCACTCCAGGTTGGAGGCTCTTCTGGTCGGCTGAGGTTGGGGATCACAAAGCAGCAACAGTAAGGCTACTGCAACTAGCCCGAACAGATCAGGAACAACTGAAATGTTCCTGATCTGAAGGCTTTCTTTGGAACTGCACACAACTGTACCCCCACGCGCCCTTGTAACAACCCTTCCCTTCCTACCAAGAAGGGCTGATTTGTTGGCACCAAGGAAAAACAAGGCAGTGCTGATCTCTGCTGTGCACTTTCTCTTCCTGGTTCCCACTGCATGGCAGTAATGGGGATGCCCAGAACATGCCTTGGGATGCATCCCGACAACAGGGATGCAGTGTGTAGCTTTTCAAAGTAGTGAGTCCCTCAGGACAGGAAGCAAAAGAGATGGTTTGCAGTTGGTGTTGTGCATGGAGACTACATGCTGAAATGGGAGGCCAGCTGTATAGAGGCAGATATCTGAGGCAGAGCCACCCCGGCAGCAAGCAGGTTAACCTGGGGCCCCCTCACCTGTCAGTGAGATGTTCCAGTTTAAAGATGTGCACAGTTTCCGTGTTACTTGAAGCACACAGGAACTGGGAATCCATACTGAATACCAGAGAGCTGATGTTCACATACCTAGGGCAAAGGAAAGGCAAGACTGGTCAATCATGGCACACTACTGAATGGGAACTGCTAGGCTTTGCTCACAGACAAGAAGATGAGGAGGAAGGAGAGCCCATATGCTGAGAAAAGGACCATGCCTGGCTGCTGCTGAGGTTGCAGGCTGACTGACTAGCATTTCCCTAATCCCTTCCTTCAGCAGAGCTGAGTTAGTGAGAAAAGCCAGGGAGGTGGCAACATCCTTGCTCACACAGCTGTTTGTGGAGAAAACTTCTGTGCTTGCCTTGCTAGAGCAGCTAAACCTTCTGGTACTGCAGAGGCCAGGGAGGATATCCAAAGCACTGGAGAGTCCAGATACATGTGACATCTCCTCCTGTGTAGGCTCACCAGGGTGAGGGTGTCTCTGTTGTTGCAGTCTCTGAACTAGCAGAAGTGAGTATAAAAACAATCACAGGCAGGTCAGGGATGGGGGAGAGGGAAAAATCAGGAAAGAATCTGAAAACACTTGAGGAAGTCTGCCAAATGGGAGCAGCAGCTTATCCCCACCTTCAGATTTGGGCTCTTACCCAAAGACTTGGTAGCTTCAAAACAACCCCTTTGAGAAGGCAAGAGACAGGACGATAACTTTGGGGACTTAATTATTTCAAGTAAGAAACAAAGAAGAACACAGCAAATGGAATGAATCTACCTCTGTTCTCTGTGACCGCCCCATTCTGTGACACACTGAATTGAACCACTAAACTTGCCGGAGGCAGCTGGGAGCAGTGTGGCTGTCTGGCACAACGACATTTCTATTTGATATGCTCACTCTTGTTTTCTTTCTGCAAAAGATGCCAAAGCCACCAGGATCTGACGTTGCCATGTCCCTATGTTTACATTTCTGCTCCTGGCACCCTGCGTACTTGTTACCGATGGAGGAATGAACTGACCTTTTCATCCCTCGCCGGAATTCGTAGAGCTTTTGCCCACCAGGAATGGAAAATACACGAATGACTGTGCCCTGCAGAAAATGCAAGTAGGAAGATCACATGGGAGCAAGGCAAAGAGCGAGAGCCCCTTCTCTGACACCAAAAAGAGTCAGTACATACAAAGACTGCTCCTGTTTGTCAGCTGGGGTACACCTGAACCCGGGGTACACCTGAACCCGATAAACTGGCCTCTTACAAGTCGGAGTTCCCTCGTTCGGCCCTCCCTGCGGTCAGCTCTGTTTAAAAATGCACTGCTCAGAGCCCCCGTTCTCCATGCACCAGGCTGCCGACGCACCAGAGCTAGCGGTGACGCCACTGCCAGCCGCGGGCGGGGGGGGGCAACAGCAGCGCTCACTCACTTTTTCAGAAGCGCTTGCCAGCTTCGACCCGGTGGAGTTGAAGGTTAGAGCAGCCAGAGGCCCATCATGGGCAGGAATTGTGCAGGCTGTTTTCTGTAGGACAGAAGGTAATGTGAGTGTAAAGAGACATGTTGCTCCTCACATGTGTAAGGGGAGGGCGTTCCCTGCCTTGAACCCATCTAGGGCTGTCTGTACGTGTTCATGGGAGTTATGGTATCCCTT